ATTTAATTCAAGATATAGAGATTGAACGCATATTTGTATCATCTCTGTTGGGTGATAAAACTTGAAGATTTTGTTGCTTAAAAATTGCTTCAGAAACGTGTCAGCGACAACAGTGCAACTTATTTTGATGCACGTCTGCAGCAATCTTAGAAGTACTCCCATTTGCAACAGAATTCAGTAGTTTTTTTTGTAGTATATTGTGTGTACTTTTGTCCTAAGTGGTTCGAGAAAGACATACACGAAACAATGTAGAATGATTGTGTAGATTTTGATGCAATGAAAATAGATGGCATAGAATTTAAAAATACGCAAAATGGCGTCTAGCAGATGTAATCTTATTGTTTCAAACAGTATATACCAATAAAAGACTGGCTCTAGCCTCTTCTCCTCTTGATATCTTTCTACTGCGTGTAATCGCTACATGAGGCCGAGCCGTCGATATACGAAAAAAAATATAATATATACTTTATATTTACTAAGTTTTGGACACTATGCTTACGTTAGTGTTCGCCGTGCAGTAGAGATGTAATAATTTCGGCTCGAGCGACCGGAAACGGATTGTATTGGAAGATATTAGTCTAATACATTGTTGACTATTCATTGAAGTCGATGAAAAGCTTTCGTAAATTTTGTTATTTTGCAAATTTCTCTAAAGAAAGCTGATTTAACAGATAAAAACAGATTTTGGAGCATTTTCGTGACAGTTTGAAAAATTGGACAATGAACAATTTTTATAGATCAGATAGACGTGTTCATTATTAACGAAAAATATTTTCTCTCGTGAAAATTTTACCACGTTTTCAGCCTTTAGTCGATTCTTTGGCCAACTAACACGGAAAAAAACCAGCTTTGTATATGACTCAGAGTAGAATAGTACGATTTTCATGTTGACGCGAACCACTCATTCTGATACAGAAATAATAATTTGAGCTAGTGATAATTTTGAAATTACTAATTCAGCTTAGTATTGTGCTGAAATTTTGAGTATTCAATAGCAAACACGTAAAAAATGAAGATAAATTTTGTAATTATCTCAAAATATATAATTTTATTGCGCCTTTTTTAAATGTTTCAATTTTTAATGCTGTTTGTATTGATTAGCCTTTGACGTGTAAATTACAAAAAATGAACTTAAAACCTTTAAAGAATAGTGTATGTGTTGTAAAGGGGACCACTTTTTTTAAACTACAAGGTCATAATTCTTTGAGAGATATTCTGCACAACCCGATAAAGCTGTGAATTTAAGAATCAATTCGAATGATCGATTAATTCTAGCCATTATGTTGTCGTGTTGCAGCCCATTGTTTGAAAGAATTGTAAAATTCGAAGAAAATTACTTATTGAGAATCGTAGCATATCTTATGAAAAAGAAAGTTCTGATCTAGGAACACACTATTTCCGACGGATTCCAAGCTGTTCCTTATTTTACACTTCGAAAATTGATAACCACTATAACTACGTATTTGAAAGTAAAATGACAGCACACTTCACTATATTGTCTATTTTGAAATAATAATTCTATAATTTTGTACGATTTTCTATGCTGTTTGTACAGGAACATTTGTAGGTCGAAAGCACAGGCTACATTTGCATTATTGAGTTGAAAATTATCTAGTGATAATTAGTTAATATTTATATACTGCAACAAATACTGCATATCAGAATTATTTAGTTCAACGCTGCACTAAGCGACGTATAGAACTGCTTTACATTACAGTTGGATAGAAGAGATATGGGGTAAATATTGACAACGCACCTAACTTTTTCTCCTCTGCTTGATTTCAATCCATTTTCATTTCACTGGTTGTGGTTTATAAATATTTTACTTCGACACGATTTAGGTAAAAAAAACAACGTGCGACAATACTACTGTTTGCAGATAGTATTGAAGTACCTTTTCAGTTATATCAATTGATAACGTCGAAATTAATATAAAAGTATTCAGATGAATTTAAAAAGTAAAATATTTAACAGTTTGTCTGTCGTTCACTCTGTTTTCCTATAGAATTCTCATTCACATTAGGAACCCAGGTATAGTACGACCTAAATTTTTGGCAATATCACTAAATTCTCATGCTGTGTTAAACAGAAGTCTGAAAATAATACGAAACGAGGTATATAATAGTCGCAGTATGACAACAGAGAACATATTGGAGTCTTTACGTAGGGATCTGTATGGAGTTTTTCAATAGAGACACCTGCACTTTCGCTTGCTGACAAGAAAATCGCGTATTTTTAGTGTATTGTTCCGTTTCTCTTTATTGGCGATTCCAAGCTTGATTAAAATAACCGTTGAGAATCTAAGAAGAAAAAAACTATTCAAGTTCGTCTAATATTTCTATTTTTTCTCTGGATTCGATAGTAAATCTGCCCCATGGTTCTCCTATAGAGTCGCTACATGAAAAAAATAAAAATAAAGAGAAATTCTATACAATAAGTCCCGAGCATAACGAAGCATATCATCAAGCAGTGAAACTTTTATTTTCCAAGACTTTCCCTCTGTTTTTTCACTGATGATAATGATAATTTACAAAGTAAAAATTTAGGTTGCACGAAGTCAAGAGAAGGATCGGTATGTGTCATTAGTTCTCTTTCCATTTCAGTTGATCACGTTCGCTGTAACATCATTTTTCGAGTCTCAACGGTAGAAAGATGCTCGAATCACACTAATGGTGAAATATTTGCAAGTAATAAAGAAAAATTATCTATCAATGATTTTATGTGGAGATCGAGATTGGACATATATCACATCAGTAAAGCTACCCGAACAGTACAAAATGTATACTTCAACTCTTCGTTCAGTTGCTACTAGGTTTTTTTCCTTTTCTCATCTTGTAGATGGCATGCTCATACCGAAAACCATTATTTCATAACTTCAGTGTCAATACGAAACCCATACGAAACACTCATGCCAACGAACTTCGCGTTGATCGTAAACCATGTAGTACTCCCATCATGAAAAACTCTAATTTTCTATCAATAGAATTTTGAAAATTCATCTTCTACTTGCTCTCATTTTTATTTATATAAGTTAGCAACAACAATCAAACACACATATTTGCTTCAAAATTTTAGTCGCAAAAAAACAAGCCACATCATTGAAATCATACGATTTTGCCGAACACTTTCCCAAAAAAAGGACAATTTCGTCTGAATCTGGGATATATAATCTATTTTCATAGCTCTTTCTATATTTTTGAGACCACCAGTCGATAGAGCTCGCAAAGTTACCCTTGTGCTGTGAGTTTCATGTTGCTCTTGAGCTAGGTTCATTAAAAGCTAGTGAGACAAAAATGTTCGCATTGAAAATAAGATCTCTTCCTGTTCAAATATGGCCATTCGCTATGGAACGGTTAATTTTTTCGGCCTAAAAAAGTTCAGATTCGTAAAGTACTTCGCATTTAGAGTAAGAGAAAATATTTTCAAATAAGTTTGAAGGGAAATTTATCGTATGGGAGCCCAAAAATGAAAATTCCGTTTATACTGGAGTGAGAACGATTCCACTAATAAAAGAGCTTTGAGAGCTCTTATCTCGATATTCGTAATCAGCATCATTGAGTATACAAGGGTATCTGCTTTTAGTTTGTGAAAAATGAAATAATTTTTTCGATGACACCCAAAACCATGCATAGGGACCATAGCTTGGGTTAAAAAGTTTTCGGAGCATACCAAGCCTGATTTTATTTGTTCATACATAGAAAGATGCAGTGTTTCACGAGCTATCTCCTACTGCTAATTTAATTTTGGGAGCGCATTACTGTGATGTAGTTGGAAGGGAAAATTTTTCGCTAAAAAAGTGTGCATTACTCGGCATTTTTCTTTTTGATTCTTGTTCTATCTTGAGGGTGTGGGTGGGTGTGGGTGGGTGTGAGTGTGAGTGTGGGTCTCGATCTCGGTCTGGGTCTGGGTGTGGATATAGCCGTTTTCAAAACACGGAAAAGTTACCACCAGTCACAGTCAAACTCATACCCACACCCACATCCTAGAAAGTTGATAATGGTGCTGATAAGTCTAAATTTCGCGCTATTAACGTGTTAAAAGGAACCTCTTGGATGTACATGGTTACATTTCGACCGATCACATGTATTTTGAGAACAAAAGTCCTATAAGAATTCATTTGGTGATACCATGTTCTTTGGTCAAAATGTAGTTTATGGAGTTCTGTGGGTGTTCGTAAGAAAAAATTTAAGGTGTTCACGAAGAATCTGGGTGTTCGTGTTGAGAGGGGTCATTTTTTGTCTTTGTTGACAGTTTTTTTTCCTTATTGCTCCTAGAAAATGGGTGTTCGTAAAGATGACTTATACGCGATCTCACAAACTTGACTGTTCGTGCTGTTCGTGTATATTAGTACTACATTATACTCAGGATCTATTCTTATTTTTGAACTTTTCCAATTTTGAATTTTTATTTTGTATCATATCACAAAAACATAAGCCTTAATATTTACGATTAAAATTTTCATTGAATCAAGTAAACGACTAATTTCCGATTATTTATCAGACTTATAGAAAATTAATAATACCGCACAAAAGAAATAGTGCTAATATTTTATCCTTTCTGAAATAGATAGACTATTATATGAAAAGAACATAATATTCTTTTCGTTTCTCTTTTATTCACATTCAGTAGTATTCATTTCTTTTCTTCTCCTGATATAATTTCGTTTTTAATTGATGTACTCAATGATTTTAATGCTGATTCACTATCATTATCAGTTTCTTGCTTTACAATCTGATTATAAAACTGCACTGCTGTTCTTAAATAAATTAAAATTAAAAGAGTATGTTTGCAAAAGCACTGAATGATTGATCTTATTTTATTTTGTCTGGATGGTGTCGGTGAAGCTTTAATTGGCTCGAAATATTTCTTTCATTCGTCTCTCATTAATAAATAGTCAAAAAATTTACATTCAACTTGTACATTTTCCTTGGCATCTTTCTTATTCTAAAGTTTAAGAAAAAAGAGCATACAGAGAGAAACCAATATAATAAATGTAAAAGTTAAATAATCAAGTTTTTAATATGTGACCATATAGTCTGATTATTTGCTTGAATATCTTCCTTGACGAACACGCGTCTATTTGACCAGATGTCCATTTGAGACGCTTTAATCCATCGAGTTTTCCTCAAAAATTTGTATCCGAAGAAAAGAAGTAGAAATACAGGAATGAGAATGTAGGAAACAGCGAACGACACGATATCGAATGGCCGAAAGAAACTAGTGTATCCTTGAAAGAAAATGAGGAATATGTTGGCCCCGAGCCCAAAGTAGGCACCATATGGATACCATATCGCTCGAAATGGTAATTCATCAGCACTTACACCTTGTGCTGCTAATCCACGACGAAACTGAATATGTGTAAGAGTTATGACAGCCCAAACGATGAACGTAGCAACTCCAGAAAGATTAATTAAATACGTATATGCAGTACCTGCTCCGCCTGGTGCTTGATTGATAAAGCAGATAGATGCGAACAAATTACAGAAGAGAATCGCCGGCCAAGGTACACCATATTTGTTTGTGATGCCAAGAAACTTTGGTGCTCTACCTGTCTTGCCTAGATAACAAATAGTTCGTGACGTGACGTAGATCGACGATATACCAGCAGATACAACCGAGAGAACAATAAGTCCATTGATGATGTGAGCAGCTACATGGATGCCTGCCTCTTGTAAAGAGATGGTTAGAGGCGATGCAGCTGTCTTAGAAGTAGCCGAAAGAAGACGAGATGAATTGTACGGAATTAGCAAACCAATGAATAGTATCATTCCAAGATAGAAAATAACAATGCGCCAAAACACTTGTTTAATCGCTCGTGGAACGGCAGTTCGAGGATTTTGACATTCACCAGCAGTGACTCCTACCATTTCTACACCGGCATAAAGTGTACCTGCAATGACAAATACTTTGGCAATACCGTTGATTCCATCTGCAAATGGACCTGGATTTTGCCAATATCGTGTACCAATATAGGTACCTCCAACGACGCCGGTATCGATCAGAATGGCGAGAATAAAGTAGGCGAGAATAGCTACAATCTTAATTAGACTGAGCCAAAATTCGATTTCACCGTAAACGAGAACACCAACAAGCGATAGTATAAGAAAGGTAAACCACCAAACGATTATCCATGCCCATTGAGGTATAACTTGAGTCCAATACATAATGACGATCGATATGGCATTATATTCGTTAGCGAGAACTGATATCCACATATACCAATATATCCAACCGAGAGCGAAAGAGAGAGCAGGATCACAGAATCGTCCAGCAAAGTCTGTGAAGGCACCACTCACAGGAATCGCAGTAGAGATTTCACCAACTGATTGCATGACGAAAAAAACAATAATTCCTGTGGCAGCAAATGCAATCAGAGCGCCGGCAGGGCCAGCATAAGCCAGTGCAGTACCGGAGCCAACAAGTAGACCAGGACCAATTATACCACCAATAGCAATCATGGTTATATGTCGACTCTTAAGTTCGCGTTTAAGCTTCTCATCGGACATTTTATTGTCATTGGAAGCGTTGGGAAGATTATCATGCTGATTTTCGCAAAGTTCAATCATTTTCTGGTTGAAATCTAAACGATAGAAAAGAAAAATATGGATATAGCATTATCGATTATGTATTATGGATGAATGAAAATTCGAGATTTCAAATATTCGTGTACTACTACGCACTAGTGACAATATACCATATTCATCTGTCTTGTAGGGTACGACATTTGGCTTAGCAGCGTGTGTTACTTTTCTGCACACATTATCGCATTGTGATGAAGGTTCTTTTTCTCTATGTGCGCTCGCAAAAGAGAGAGAAGCACTGAAAAATGAAGAGCATCATAAAAAAATTACCAAAAAATGTAATTCACTCCATAGAATAGACAAGTAATAATGATGCACATGGATATACTAATAAAAAACAGGAAACTACAGCGATTTCTTACATATTTGATCGTCTATCTAGATCGGACACGAAACAATGTGCCCTTGTTTATGATAATGGTAAAAATCAGCTGTTCCTGATATGCTAATCGACAAAATATAAGACGTTTCATTTCTCTTTATTTGATCACTATGACTGACGTCCTCACTTGTCATTATAATATAACATTATTTTTCTCTGTTCATTTGTATGATTGGAAAATACATGGTACAGTTGCGTCCTTTGAGCTATGCTTATATAGTCACTCTGGTCTGATTGGATTTGGTATATGTACTCAGTTACAAAATCATGTTGTGAGGATTTCTTTAATGCTTGTCTGTTTATTTAATGAATAGCAAACGAAAATAATAGCGAAAACAACAATCGGTGATCAAACAACAATAATAATACATGAACCGATATCGATGGATAAAACCAATGAAAACAAAAATATGAACGAAATAACGTAAAGGTGTATACATGCTTGGAATGATAGATGTCGTCCGATAACAAAAATCTTGATAAAAAAAAGTAGTCTAAACCCATTCTCATCAATTGCGGGGAGAACTTACACGTTAAAAATTGATTCTCATACTCAGATTTCACAGGATGTTGGGTTTTTAATGTCAATTGAAACATCATATTCATGAAATAATCGAATACAAGGTATTTCGAGGATTGTACTGAGACAGCTAAGGAACGTTTCACTGCTAGACAAAAATAAAAAATAAGAAATTTCCTCATTTTATTTTGCTGATATATAAGTTGTTTCTTCTTTGTTTGTAGATATCAATCAATCCGATGATTAAACTTCGAAAGAAACTGCGAAATGTTTGTTGTGAAATCACGATTGAGAGCAACTTATTAAAGAGAGAAAAATGTTTTTTTTAAATAAATAAGGATTCATTTTATTTAATCAGTTTTGTCAATGTAAGGCTAGAATAAATCTTCAAGAATCACCATGACAATGTAACCCGCTTCAATAAAAATTCAATCACTTAAAGAACACATTGTTAACTACTTATCTGCATTTAAAAATTAGAGATTAGTTTATTATTATTATTTGAAATTTTGTCAAAACAGAAAATTTATCACGATATCAATTAAAAAATAATAAAAGTAAATAAATATACTTCACATTTAAAAAAGAATCACATCAATGTTAGAAATAAAAAAGAAACAAGCAGTAGAACTAAAATTATCACAACAATAATCACTGGTGCTATATTCAGCAAGAAAAACTAAAATTTGAGATCAACATGAATCAGATCTATTCAATTTGTTACATTGTAGCTTTGCCAAGGTTGTTGACTAGGTGTTATATAAATTCTTGTTTTATCATGACGGCATTGAACAACGCCTCGATATGCTGTTCGAGGTACATTACTCTAAAAAATAGGAGTATATGATGCAAGAAAATATTTATCAAAAACAAAAAATGAACTTGGCGCAATTCAAATTTCGTTTTGTCTTGTTTATCTTTGTCCTAAGTTATTACAACCTCGATTGATGACGTCTCCGTCTAAAATTTCGATTATTTCATTAAGTAGTTTCGATACAACATCATCTCATAAAAAAACTCAATGTGTTTCCTGCCATAATCATACTGAAAATAATAATAATAATAATAATAATGATAAAAGTTCATACAATGTAAAACAACCGATTAAAGCAAACTTATTCAATCAAACCATTGATCAAGCTGTTGAATATTTCGAACAAATTCTTAAACAATGTACATCCTCTTCAAATACTACAGTCGATCAACAAGAGCGTATAAATGACAACAAATTAAAAGTTGAAACTAAAAAACGTGACTGTGAAGAATTCTTAAATTTATTAAATACAAAAAAAAATTTCAAACTCAAACAACGAGATCAAAAAGTTGATTGTCGTCACTGGTGCGAAGAGCAAAATCAACGAATTGCAAAATATAACAATGCAACCGATGGTACTAATAGAAAAGATCGTTCGAAAAATCGAAATAACGATGGATCGATATTCTATTGTCGAAAAGCTCTTTTACAAAAATCAGATGGAATCACTTACATCTGTATTCGAAAACGACTAAATTAAATATTCATTGCTTCTTACCTTTAAGTCAGTCATTAGTTCAAGTGCCTTTGCTATAGTAACGAATTCCTCATTATTACTATAACGTAGTTTTGCGCATGTCATATCACTATTCATTTTATTTAAATCAGACAAAGTTATCACAGGACAAGTATCAATAAATGCTTGAAATTTTTTGTCATATCGCTCCTAGGAAAAAAACATCGTTTTTTGTTTATAAAATTTTCAAAAAAAAACATAATTAATTGATATACTTTGATAAGATAGCTAACATCAATAGATTTCCAATCAATAGGATCAGAATTTTTGATAATCTTTCTCAAATAATGATCATAAAATTGACCTCTATGAAATAAAAACTCGATACAATAACGACAACAAATTAATCCAACCAATAGACATACCCGCTTACGCCTCTTTTACCTTCAGGTGATATACCTGTGCGTGATACTTCTGGTCGAATACAGGCTCGATCACGACGTTGTTCTGGTTTTCTCATCCAATCATCCCAAAAACTAGTCATTGTAAAAGAAACTTTAAAAATTTCATATTTTTAAGTTCATACGTGAACTAACCCTTGCGGCCAATTATCTCTTATTTCATTCCATACTGTTTTTGTTAACAACCAACCAAGACCAGGAAAAAAATCACTACGATGCAGAAGATCTTAGAAATAGAACAAAACAAAAGTAACATAACTGATAAAATAAATTTCTTTTCATTCGTACTTGCTTGGCGATCAATTTTTTTATCGATTCCGTTATCGTTCCATGCTGATATGCACCAAAGAGTTTTATCATATTTTAGTAATGGATAGAGTGCTTGAAAATAATCGAGAAAATCTATTGAAACTTCCAAATCATCTATAGGTAAAATAAAAACGAGTTAATGTAAATTAAAATCATTAGTCAACCTTCAGTAATAATTATCGCTTCATAATTAAGTGTATTAAGAACATAATTCAGTGAATAACCATAGTGACGTGATATTTTATAATATCCAGATAAGAGATGATCTTTTGGTGGAACAATAAGAGGACCAAGATCTGGTAACTAAATATGAAATAAAATTTTTTTTTTTCATTTGAATATTTCCGTTGTACGGTAAAGGACATCCATACTTCAATAATTTCTTTAATTTTATCACCAAAACTTTTAGCAACTTGAAGAGTTTCCTTGTCATGACAGTCTAAGCTGACTATGATTGGATTTAAATCAGAATTATTTCGAATTCTAAATAAATAAAATTGATTATCTCCATGAAATATAATTTCACACTATTGTTACATACCTAAGCAAAGCTTCGATATGAACCTGAAGAGCACGTGCTCGGTTACAAGCAAAAACAACAATAGGTAAAAGGACATCTTTTTTCTATGCAAAGAATAAAATGAAAATTCTTCCATAATTTAAAAATAGGCCAACAAAAACACAACCGTACTGTTAATAGAGGTTCTGATAATGAAGAAATGTTAGTTGTTTGTCCTGCTCGAATTATTTTCGTAGTAGTTGGTGATCTCTAAAGAAAAACTAGCGATAGAAAAAAATAATTAAACTAAAACTTCGAAACAAACAAGTTCATTATTATTTGCTGAACCCGGGAAACCTTTAATACTGAATAGTAATATAATATTGATCAGAAAGAAAATACTGGCATTAACAACAACTTTTCTAATAATTCTTAATCGCATATTTGCATATTTTCCATCAGTGCCAATACTTCATCATCTAGAATAATCGTTTTTTTTTTCATAAAAAAATATTCAATTTAAACAAAATGTTTGTCCTTTTCTCCTACGACACTATGTTGTTGACGATTGGAAGTAAAATTCAAACTCACAGACTGCATTTCAATCGTTATTACAAATGTAATTATTGAAATGTCACAGCCACTTTAGTAATACTTATTTGTGAATAACACACGTTCTATTAATTGTGTATGAACTATTTTCTCTTTGTTTCTACGGCTTTTTTTTATGATAGAAAAATAAACAAAAAACGCAATTCAAAGGCAAACAATGCCATGTTGCTGCTTTTTTTTTATTCATCAAGCAAAACAAAAAACAAAACAAGAACAGAATCAAGCATTAACACGAATTTTTTTTTTACTTCTTCCACCACTCTTTATTTTTCGTTCTTCACTATCATCAACCAATGTTGGAACTGAATCGTCATTGTTATTGTCGTTTAACACTTCTTTAGCAGCAGCTAAAAGACGTTTTCGTTTCTCAGCTCTTGGTGCTGGTTTACTAGCAAAATTTTGTTCGATATGTTTTGGTTTTTCATTTTTCTTGGCAAGACGAGTACTAGCAACACGTTTAACGAATTCGGTGTCAACAACAGGTTTATTTTCAGCATTAAAAACTGGTTCATCTTCAGCTCCTTTCGTTTTTTCTTTCTTCGGTTTAGAATTTGTTGTACGATGTGTTTGAACACCTTTAATCCAAGTTTTTTGTAAACGTTTTGTTGATTTCTTCTTAGTAACATTGTTACTTAATTTATTTTTTTTTGTTAAATGAACATTTCCATTCGCTTCTACAATCACATTAAGATTTTTTTCAACGGTTGATAATTCACCTATTTGTGTCAATTCATTTTGACTAGTTATCGGTAAATTTAATTTTGAAACATCATTTTTATTATGTTTACTATAATAAATCGGTAATGATTGTAAATTATTACCATAGAAATAAGCATGATCAATATTTAACCAACTACCAGGTAATTCTTTGCCAATCGTTTGACAAATTGTTGTAAGATTTTCTATTCCATGATCAATAGATTGTTTTACAGTTGTAAATTGCATAGAAAAAAGTGGTCCTGTACCAGCCATACGGCCAGATATTGATGAACATAAGGAAATTAAACGTTGTTTAAAATCTTTATTAAATACGTTGATACCTAATGGCATTTTTCCGTGAGAACGAAAATGTTTGCCAAGTAATTGACCACGCATTAATGATGTCATGATACGTCGATCGGCAAGAAACAGATCGTATCGTGCACATAATTTTCTTTTAGCTTCATATGGAATTAATTCCTAAAAATAAAATAAAATAAAATAAATTTAATTAATTCAAAATTTCAAAATTTACTTGATTAATTTGTTTAAGTGTCATAATTTCAATATTAAATGGAAGTTTAAATTGATCGATCATAGATTTATAACGACGTACAGTTGCTTCATATTCTCGACCATTAACATCATCATCACGTACAAAAAGACATACGTCACGTGTTGATTGTTGAATGAATGGATGGGGCAATTCCGATGAAAGACGTAAATAAGTACATCGAGGTATTTTATGTACGTGAAGATAAAGACTTATTGGTATTGATTCATCTAATAATTGTTTATGACCTTGTTGAGCATTATTAATAATTTGTTTCAAAGCTACCAATGCTTTTTTACACAAATTTAAATCAAATGGACATTCAGATGAAGTATTTTCTTTAGTTGAAATTTCCATTTTGGTTTCAGTTGATTTTGCTTTCATCTTAAAATATACCTAAATCAATATTATTATTTATTTGTAAAATTATTTTGAAATAGACTTTTTAGATAGAAAATAATCCGAATGAATAAATGGAATAAAATAAAGAATTCGAAAGGTTGATCAGTATCACCAATGTAAAAGAAATCTTTGTTGGCCTTCACGTAGGTACAGCAATTACTCATTGATTGAAAGCGACATCTGCATTTTAAATATCATATATACCTCGAATTAGCGAAGGTAGTAAAGAATAGATTTACTTGCGTTGTTCGTGTGTAAGAATTATCTTTAAAACACGGTTTATAATTGAACATATTGCACTATTCGAACAAATAGCGTAGGATGTTTGTTGACGTCACGGATTGACATTTCAATATTTTTTTTGTGATTAGCTGTTTAACATACTTTGGATCGATACCCTTCGAAGATCAAAATCCAGTCTACGTATTTGTTAGAAACACAATACTATTTCTATTCTAATGAGTCGACATCTGAAATCCTTAATGGAATATCTTAATTTATCATTCCCAACTTTAAATGTTATCATCCCAATTTATTTCTATAAATTTCATGATATTTTCATAGCACCACATCAATACAAAAAAATCATTATCTCCTCCCAAGACGAAGACAACAAAATCTGTATATACTTAGAAAAACGACCGTATTTTATATCGCTTAAACTTGACAGTAGTGTTTCTCCGTATCGTATACGAAGAAATATGAGCGTTTATTTGAGACAAAATATTGATTCAAACAGAAGTCCTATATGATTTTTATCAATGATCGTATTTCTTCGAATAACTATGATACGAAAAGACCTGCGCTGATTTAGAAATAATTTGTATAGAAAACAAAAATTGACATTCTTAAGTGCTAATCTTTTGTTTGAATAAACTTTTTATTTTTGATCAAAATAACATTCTTTTGATTCTTTATTGAAAAATAAAACGTCATAGTACACTTGAAATTCAAATAATTATGAAAATGAATATAGTCATTGTAAGAAAGAGAACACAATCAAATTTCAATAATCAAATCGATTAAACAGCAATCGTTGCCACCTGCCAAATGACTCACAATCAACAATGATTGTTGTTGTTCGACTGATAGTGATAGTCAAATGATCATATTCACTTACCCTTTTGTCAGTTACATCTCTATCTATTTATCTCCAATCGATTGTTTATAAAATGAGCTTAACAGATACTAGTTTTAATCTCAAGAGAGCGATCATCATCATCACCATCATCGTCATCGTTGATTAAAAAAACAATGAAAAGTAATAAATTGAAGAAATCATTCCTATTACATTTATATACTAATGAATTATAGAAAACTCTTGTTTAATAATATTTCATAGAATTGAATTATAGTTAATTAATACACATGCATTCAATCATGCTGTGTAATTGATGAGAATGATCGGATAAATCATTAAAAAATATCGATGTCTCTCTCTCTCTTTCTCTCTTTATGCACATATATATTCATGTATTTGATTACGTCTATATGTGTATATATAAATTCAATGCTCTTTTCTATGTCTGTAATGTTGATGAGGGACAGAGAACATACATATACGCACAAGTGTTGTTGTTATTATATGTACCATATAATAAAACCTCGATAATGAAGCAATTATGGTCATTTCTTTTTTTTTTTACTGACTTTTGCTCTTTCTTCTTTCCATCTCATAGAGATAATTCGTGTATTAATCGGACAGACACGATAGTTAAGATTTCTTATTCTTTTTTTTCCTTCTATGGATTTCTTCTATTCCCAATCCGTATCCGATTGGCCTTATCCTTGCTGTATATATGTGTTATCAGAAACACGCACTAGGATACAGGGTGGAGAAGAAAGACGAATGATATCTACCAGTGTATCATGCAAAGCTAGTGTCGATCATCACACATCTATTCAACAAAGTTTTTTCCTCTTCTTATTCTTGTAGATAATACTGTCAAAGAACAAATTCGATTACTTGATTGCTAGTGTACTAGTCTATATTATCACAAGAGAGAATGGCATTTGGCTGATGTGTATAATACCAACAAGGTGTTATTCGATATATTCTTGAATGTTAATCGGTGTCGCCGCTGTTTTCACAAATTCTTGTCAAACATGACACTCATCAATAGTTGTTTTTTTTTTGTCTATATTTCTTTATATCCGTCATATACGACCAGTGAATTAACTGTATAGAAAAAAAAGAGCAATTGAATAAGAACAAAAAAAACTTTGAAAGAAAAAGACAACAAAAGAAAAGAAAAAAGTACAGACGTAAACAAAATGACGACAAATAATATATATATATATTATATATGTCAACTGAATTTTCGCGCATTAGCATAGAGTGATGCAGCATAGAGTGGTGATATAAGTGGATAAGGATTTGTTGTTGAAGAATTTGATGATGAAGATCCATTCATTTGTTGTTGTTGAGAATTATAAAATGATGCAGCACAAGCAACATAAGCTGCAGCAGCAGCTGAATGCATTCCTACAGATGATGAGCCGACTGTAGTTGGTATTGTTGGAGAATTAACATCGAGGCCAGGATTTTGTTTTTTCCATTTTGTTCGTCGATTTTGAAACCTTGATTTCATAAAAAAAAAAAGAAAAATGCTATTAGTTCGTTTGTTTTTGTGAACGAATGAAGAAAACAAATCATACCAGATTTTTACTTGTGTTTCTGTTAGTGATAATGATAATGCAAGATTAAGTCGTTCGCAAACGGATAAATACCGTGTTTGTTTAAATTTGTTTTCTAATGCAACCAATTGCTCGTATGTAAATGCCGTTCGTGCCCGACGTGGTTTTGATGGTTTATCAGCTGTCGATGAAGTTGTTGATGATGATTTTGATTTGTCACCATCACTTATAGATACATTTAAATCGTCATCATGAGTCTTATCACCAGTTTCTGATAGACATCCATCTAATAAAAAACAAAATATAGAAGATGAAAGAGTTAAAAACATCTAGTATTCTAAGAAAAGAAAAAACCGATGCGCTAACTTACCAGATACATCACAATCACTGACTGAATCATGATGTTCATCATCGTAATCATCATCATTATCTGAATGTGAATAGACGGATTTAAGATTCTTTGCTATATTATTATTATCATTTAAATGATTGGATTTTTGTTCAAGTATTAATTTTGTATAATCATCTAATCGTTGAGCTTTAGGTTTCTTAATTAAATGATTAAGACGAGTATTATTATTACTGTCAACGGATGATGCTGAAGGTTTAGCAAGTATATCACAGATGTTAAATGTGCGTCGAGTAGAAGATGAAGAAGAATTGCAGGACGATTTAATCGGTGAAATATGTGATGAAGAAGATGAATTTATTGAAATTGGCGACGAATTAATATTGCTTGGTGAAAGTATACGATTGGTTAATGAACCAAGTTTTGTTAAAGTTATTGGTGTTGTTGACGGAGATGGAATCGGGGACGGTGGAGATGATGATAGATTTGTTTTCAATTTGTCGTCATGGTCAATTGAAGGCACAGTCATTTCTAATTTTTCATCACTCATCAGAAAAGATTCTGATCTGGAAAGATTTCAGAGTATATAAGTATAATAATATGTATTATTGTTTTTTTTAGGACAATATATTCGACGCGTATTGTTCGATTGATTATCAAATCTCTTGCCTCGTTTTACTCCAATAAATATCTAGTGTTTTTTTTTTATCTTTAACGATCACGAACTCTCGATGATTGCTGTTAATGACTGTGTGTGTGTATGAAAATTTCTCTTATTCTCTCTTTTCCCTCATGTAAATACGATACATACATATATATAAAGAAAGTGAATGAGACCAAACAAGAGAAACACACATAGAGAGAGAGAGAGGGAGAGAGAGGGAGAGGGAAAGAAAATCTCAACACCCATCAACGAAGAGACTCATCGGAGCGATTACGCATCTATACACTAGCAAATTATGATTATGATACCCGTGTGTGTGTGTATGTGCATGCGAGAAGAGTACCAAATACGAACGAACGAGTAAAATGAGAGAGTCCTTTTTTCCCATTCGCCGAAACATATGCACTAATAGCAGCAATTCTCTCGGCAATTTAGCAAACCATTTATATGCGTCCCGAATAGAGAGAAAGAGAAAAATACTAGGAAGAAAAAAAAGCAATTGATTGAGCTCGTAGATGCCATATATATGTGAATGTTAAATTTGCAACGGCGTATGTCAATAAAAAAAAAGACACAGCGAGAAAGAAGGAAAGAGAATGGCGAATGCGTTCGATCGTTAAATTAATTGAGTGCCAATGAGAGAAGAATAACAGCAATACTATCCAACCATTGAAAAAACAGACGGTTTTAATTTTTGATTTGTTTCAAAGAAAGGCAACAACAAGATGTTTGGTAACTTTTCTTTTATTTTTTCTAAGAAGAAATACGCCAATTAACCTTTCACATGAGAATATTTGAAAGATTATTATCTTATTTGATTTACAAACCACTTTCATAATCTTGACAAGTTTATTCAGGTTTCTATTTCAATAATAGCGCACTTATGTTATTTTTGTAACTCATTCCTTTATTTTCGATTTAACTTACTTTTGACATACATTTGCGCAGAGTAACTAATCGTCGCAAAAGAAATCTAACCTGTAGAACACTAAATTCCATGTTTCAAGACTACATTTGTTCTTAATTAAAAATCATTATCTCGTATATTATATCTTTTAAAAGAAACTTGTTCTATCTATTGAATGTAATGTCTTTGAAAATTGATACGAACTATTTTCAAGAATGTCTATAAATAGTGTCCAAAGAACTATTTCGACACATTAACAAGAACAAATATAGCTAAGTAAGTATGCTAAAAACAGATAAAGACAAAAAAGAAAGAGAAAAAAAGAAGCTAACTAGAAACAACAAATCATTGTCATCATCTAACTAACTAATCCAATAGAAGAAGATTTATCTCATCTATCAAAACTACGACTCTAACATTTGATAACATTGCCAAAAATGACATGCAGATAGATATATTTTCTGTTGCATCATGAATTTTTCTTTTTCTAAGCAATCGATGTACATCATTTGTGTGCACGCTTCCACGTGGAAAATGAATATAGGTGATTAGCATGTGAATCAATTGAATGCATAAGCAAGCATATGAAGCTCATCATCGTTAGGCTTCAAAATAGATTGTTGACTGATTTAATCGATTAATCTCACTAACATTATGTATATGCGCATGATGACGCAAATGTTTTCTTTACACACATATATCCAAAACCGGAACATTTTTCGTTTGTTAAGTGGAAATGAAAAAAAAAGCACGTGATTATGTGTATCTTTCTGTTCTATTTCAATTAATATGCTGATTGGCAATGAATAGAAATGTAGAAATCAATTTTTAAAATAACACACTTGACGATGTTAGGTGTTCTTTCTTTTATTTTCTTTTGTTCGATTAAACTCGAGTTTGTCTCTCCCATATAATATATATATAATAAAGAAATTGACAGGCATTCAATAGAAACTTGTCGAGAAAAACAAATACAATCACTCAATTATATGAGTAGACGACCATAGCAAAAATCATCAATTTGCTTATATTGTCGAACGAGTCGGTAAGGAAAAAAATCTCATTACGTATCTTAAAAGTAAGAGAATTCATGATAATTTTGTACGTCATCTATATTCATATTAAAAATTAACAATCATTTGTTGACATGCTTACGGTTATTAGTTTAGTAGACGAATACATATAAAGAAGAAACAAAGTGAATTGATTTTCACACCCGATCAGAGACATGAAGCCTTCGCATTATTTTTCCTTTTTTTTACTTGTTGCTGTACTTAAATACATAAAGTACAAGAAAGATCAAATCATGTTTGACAACAATTTAAATTTTTAATCGATTATTAGTATAATGAAAAAAAGGAAAGAATGAATAACACGACATCGAGACCTTTTCTTTTTTTTTGTCTCTATTGCAAAAATTTATATGCGGAAATAATTGGCTGTCATGTTTTCGTATTCAAGTGAAGATTATTTTTCTTTTTCATAAGGGATTCTTGTCTATCGATAATGACTTTTTTTTCTTCTGTCTATTATTTTCAACGGTAGTTCTATCTATGCATCATCGTCTTGTCTACTTATCCTGAGGGAAAATAGGTAGGCGAACTTAGATGTACGCGTGTGCATATCGATGTCAATCTGGCTACCAATGGTATAATTGATTAATCATTCCGGTTATTAGGCTTCGTCGTCTTCTCACTATACTCATTTGATGAAACTTACTTTTGAAATACGACTCCTACATACGTGCACATATATGCATAGGCACATACACAATAATTTTGACTTTGATTGATTGAATAAAAAAGAATATGAGTAGCAATTTTAAATCTCATTTACATGGATCATGCTATGCCGCTTACTGACGTCTTTATATAAAACGATTCTTATCGAGTAAAGTCGGTAGTAGTTAAGGGGGCGCGCGTGCTCGATATAAGGAACAGATTTGTGTCAATTGCCCGTCGCGCACACACACACATATATATATACAAAAGCCGCAAATAGATATATACATTCATTGATTCATTTCGTTTGAACATTTTCAATCGATTATTTCCATCCATATGTAAATATTGACTCTTTCGATTTCTCTACACTTGCTGATGATGATTCTTCTCTCGTCAATCGTATCATGTTTCTTAATGATCACCAGCAGCACGCGCTTCTTTCATTCAATTAGGACAAACCACAGTATGTGTTCTTTTGTCGTTGATAAGTTTGAAACTTGTCGGAAGAAAGTGCGCGTATGAGAGAGAGAGAGAGAGAGAGTGAGTGAATAAATGAATAAGAATGGCACTTGCTCTTATCGCTATATATTCTCACCGCCTGCTCATGATTTGCTACATATGTGCTGTAGTTATTCTCTCATTTTTTTTAATGAGAACAACGAGAACGCGTCGAAGATCAATATTATTCTCCCTCTGTATGTGTCTGCCTATGATCTCTTGCTCATTGCTAAAATATTCTGTTGATTTGTCGCACATTTGTACACACATATATATATATATATATATATTCATATTTTATTGAATTCATGCGATATTTAAAATTTGTTTTGCTTAGAGAGAAAAGAAAAGAAGAAAAGGAAACTCGATTAAAGTGATCTAAATGTATCAAAGTCATTATTTAATAGGAATTGAATTGATATTCAATAATCTTATTCATTCAAGATGAAATATAATTACAAATTCAATCTTCTTCTTCTTCTTCTTCTTGTTCATTTTGTCCTAATTATCACGCACATAAAAACACAGGTGAAAGAGATTTTATTTTTTCTTCTTTCCTCATGGCTATTTATTGTCTGGCGACGAAGATGATGATGATACATTAATAGTACTAATGATTAAAATTTTGTTCTGTGTACCAAGAAAATAAATCAACAACAAAACAAAAAAAGACGGCCTTCTTGATGACTATATCTCCTCATTTCCTTTTCTATCATCAAATCCTATTGTAAATTATTCACACCTTTAGATTTCTCTTATCTTAAAAGAAGAAGTAAGAAGAAAAAAAAAGAAAAGAAAACTAACAAATGAATAGATCCTTACGTACACAGTTTGATTGGATGCCTTCGAGCTATGGCAGCATAGCATATGATCTAAATTCAATGTGACATTGCCAATCTGTTATCCATTATTTCTAATTGGCAAATGCATGCGTATAGAGAATACATTTATTCACTTGTTCGATAGTTTTCCCGAATAGCATATTTCTCTTTTTCTATTGGCCGAGAAAAATAATAACAGTACCACTCAAGTGCACGATGTAATAATGGTTATTGATAGGCAGACATTAGTGCAAATTGTTCTATTATTCGACATCGATCATGACGATGACGCCGTACACACATATGTGTGTCTCTTAAGAGGAAAATGTTAACTTATCCATGATAACATCTTTTTTTTCCACTCTTTTTCTCTTCATATCCAACTAAGAATATGAATAAGATCGATGAAGTGCAAGAATATTAGTTAGAAAAGATCATACAACCTTTTTATGTCTGTTGGGTAAAAACGCAATACTAATCATGTTCTCGGTATGTGCGACGACGGAAGCTAATATATCATCGTTATTTACTTGGAATAGATATTTACTTGTCGAACAATATACATATATTGATATCTATGGAATCTTAATGACGACAAGTGTTTTGTTGATTAATAATTCTTATAAATGAGAATGTTTCCTTTTCTCAAGAGATAAAAGAAATAATCCTAAATCTTTTTTTCTCGAACTCAATAATAGAAATAAAACATTGCTTCATAGGAATATATTATAAGAATTAATAATTCATAATTTTCTCGGGTATCTTCTATAATTGACAAAACGATGTTACTCCGATATAATAACGGAAATAATTAAGCAGAACTATTTGTTAAATATTGTATGCCTATGAAAATGGAACATTATTTGCCATGAAATTTTTATGAATATAATCATAAGCAATTGTAATGCTCAAGAATTTTAAATCTATCCATGGTACAGTCATAGTTAAAGCATTCGTGGAAAAGAAAAAAATATTAACACAATTTATGTTTGCCACACAAATGCTAAGCGAACTAGCCAGTATGCTAGAATCAAGTCAATCGTCGCCTTTTTATTGATAATACCTTTATAGATGAGAATAAATATTTCATGAAAATTTCAAGTAATTGATATCCAGATTTTACTACACAAATATAATGAAGACATTTGTTATTAATTTAAGAAAAGCAAGTCGAATACGGTATCAATAAAATGCAAGTCCTATTGAATTTGGTCGTTTCTTTGGAACTTTTCTTTTTTTCGATCGATTTTCTCTTGTTGCACTTAAATTTCTTTTTGAATCGTTAACAGAAGATCTGACATATGAATCTATTGTTTATTTTGTTCTTCGTAATGCTATCAGTTTTGAGTGTCTTCTATGCTGTGTAGCGCGTCATTTTTGGAAAGATACAAAAGAGCAAATTATCTATTTTAGATTCAGTCTTATCTGATCATGTTAGTTTGCAAATAGAATGCGAAAAAGACCATGTGAGACCTTACAATAAACGATGAAAACTATAAGATGCTGATTTCACATAAAAACTTGACATCTCAACAATGTGTCGAAGTGAATTTCTATTGTTTTTGATTCTGTACTTACAACCTGAAGTACCTATGTTTTTCACTAGTTAAAAGTGTGAAAAGTTAACAACAAATATCGAAATATTTTCCTATAGAGTTAGGCATCAATTGCTGATCTTGAGCACACCCACATAGCGTAATAAAATAGAATAGATTTTGATTTCTTGCAATAGGCATAAACTAGGATTTGATAATCTACTGTTTCATGAAGATACCGAACTGAAAAATATGAAAATATTGAAGATTTTCAAGTGTTTACATAAAAAAAGATTCTGGTTAGAAAGAAGTTTTCGTGATTGATTCACGAAGGTATTCATTGAACATTTGAGTATTTTTGCTACAGTGCTCGTGCCTTGTGATTATCGAACATCATGAAATTTTCTCTAGTTTAAGAAATGTAGTTTTTATTTTTTAACAGCATAACAACAATAAAACAATACGTAATTATCGAGTACTTTCAATTTCTTTATTTTTATCTTTTTCTTCATGACTAGTGGATAGTATACTGAATTCGATTAGCTGTTATGAACCAATGACTTCTCTTTGAAAACGTAATTCTTTCAATATAATCAACAGCTACTTTGAGATGATTTTTTAATGCTTCATAACTCATTTGTAATTCTTCCATTTTTTTTCTGAATCGTCTTTTCTATTTGTTCTTTGCCATTAATGGCGATAGAGTTTTTGTTAACCTTTCAGAATTACTATTTGGAAATATAAGTGCCGCAAAGGAGTCCATTTCATCACGACCACCTAACAGAACAGTATTATCGAATTGTTGTGTATGATACCGTGGCATTTTTCGATTCAGTGTTGTTGATGGCTTTGTATTACATATTGAATGAGCACGAGTGATGGTTGAATGACGTTCTGATTTCATTGCCTAAGAAAAAATATTGAGTAAAAAATAAACAATAAGTCTAGATTTGATATCACAAATATTGCTATTCTAGATTATTTATTACTCGTGTTTGAGAAAACAATATATACCATATTATTATTAACTAACGATTAATCCTGAGAAGTGCTACAATTGTTGATAAAAATCTACAGGGAAATCTTCAGTAATGTTTACTCGTTCATATAAATAATGATGATTATTATTAAAGCTATTCTATATGGAAATATTCTGTGTATGTTTTTGAAAAAAAACCATTAATTTTCTTTTTCATTTATTGAAATTCCAAGTCCTAATTGATTAATTACCTGTTCGGAGCGATCTTTCAAATGATAGAAATCAATTGCTTTTTCACATTGTATTATTTGCGCTTGAATATTTGATATTAGACTAGTATCGTATAGACTTTTTTGTATTGTTTTGAAATATTCTATGAACAAATGAAAGATAGTTCAGTGCTATTTTTGAATTCCTTAACAAACCAATTGCACGTAAATAACATTCAATGGCTCGAGTCCACTTTTGTGCTGATGCTTGAATATCACCTAAACGTATTTGTTGATGAGCCTATTAAAATTGAAATTGAATATTGATTCAAAACAAACATTCAAATAACATACATGTGGAAGTGACGGTGAGTTTTCAAAATTCATCAATATAAATAATCTACAGATTTGTTTTCGTCTTTTAATAAGAAGAATTTTCTATCTCTTATTTCGTCTTTTTTTTTTTATAAATATGAGCGTACATGTGTATTGTGCAAAAAAAATGAGAGAAAGAAAGACACGAAAAATGTATTCAGTAGGAATAAAACTTTTCCCGAAAAAAGAGAGAAAAAAAAGTAAAGTAGAATTAATGAATAACACACGTTCATAGATTTGCATACAAATACAAATGACATCGACAACAAATAAAGACAGAAGCAGTAATAATGTTGTCAAAATACGAAAGACATTTCGTTGGAACAACAAGAAGAATAAGAAAGAAGATTTGTATGTATTGCCGAAAAAGAGGAAAAACGATCGTTGTTTCATTTTATGTTTTAACGCACATCGTAAGAGATAATTTTATTGCTTTGCACGTGCTCAGATTGTACTGTTATTAGCAGGAAAATGCCATTTTCTACATATATATATATATATATATATAGAAATGTGTTATGCACATAAAGAGACCTATTTATGAATGACTCGAAAAGAAAAAACAGCAAAACCGCAAAAAACGAAGAGACATAAAGTGAGAAATTGAGACAATGTACATATAGTATAATATATAACGAGGTTCGACAAGGCGAGAACAAAAAAGAAAACAAAACGAAAAGAACACATCACAGATGGACACTCGATCGTTTCGAAATAGCCGTTTTCATGAGCGATGCTGAAATGAGCTTTGAACCATGATCTTTAGTTAAATATATTTCATTTATATCCAATATTGATTGTAATGGTCCTAGTGTATGTATTATTGGTGGGTAGCAGGAAAAGAATTTATGCATCATTGCATCATGTGCAGATATTCGAGAATGTGGATTATACCGTAAAAATTGTTCTAACAAATCAATTCCATTTTGATCAAGACGTGGTGCTAAATGATTTAAGGATTCACCATGATAATAAGGTAATCTTAATGCTTGAAAATCAGGATTTGTTGTTACACCGGGTAGAGATTTTTCATTTGGTGTACCGAGACATTTAAATATTAAATACAATTCTTCATCAACTTTCGTACCAGCAAATAACGGTCGACCACATGCCATTTCATAAAAAATGCAACCAACAGCCCATATATCAATGGGCGTTGAATACTCAGTACTACCAAGTAAAACATCAGGTGGCCGATACCACAATGTAACAACTTCATGTGAATATGTTTTTGTTGGAAATGATTTAATACGTGCAAGACCGAAGTCTGCTAATTTTAATTCTCCTCGTTCGTTAATTAATAGATTTTGCGGTCTAAATAGAAATTCAATGAAATAAATAAATAAATAAATAAACAAGTGACTAAATCTTATTTTTACTTTAGATCTCGATGAAGAATCTTTTTTGAATGGCAATAATCTAGACCACGTAAAAGTTGAAATAAAAATAGACGAACATTTTTTATATTAAGAATATTTGCACAGTCGTCCATATATTGTTTTAAATCTTTTTCGACATATTCAAATACAAGTGTTAATGTTGTTTGGTTAAATATAATATCATATAGACTAACAATATTATTATGTTTGAGACCTTTCAATAAGCTAACTTCTCGTAACGCTGTACATGGAGCACCTAAAAATAGAAATAGATTCATATTATAGTAATCAGTTGTTGTTGATAAGAAATGAAGGATTTAATCTATAAAGATTAAGTCTTGGCATAAAATTTTCAGCGCGACTAGGCGACAAATGATTAATGCCCGAAGTCATTAGCTAGAGAAAGAATGCATTTTGGTTCTTCCTAAGCATATCATTGAATTTTCCTATTGGAATAATATCGAACAGCTATGAGAAAGTTTTGTCACGTTGTTCAAAGTGATGTCTATTTCATAGTACAATGATTGTAGTTTTTTAATAGTTCTGTAGTTCACCTAGAATAACGACTTTTTTGTCTAACAAAAAAAATAGTTCATGCGAGTAGGATACCCTAGTCGAACTTTTTTTTGCAAGCGCATGCAATTCTTGACTTTCTTGATCAAGAAGTCAAGAACTATGGACACATCTTGAGGCAAGACATGAGGCCTTTCCGTGAGCTCAAGTTCTTAAACTTCTTGCTCATGCGCTTGAATTTTTATCTAAGCGTTTCTGTTATTAAAGAACTTTTTCAATTTTAGGTTCGAAATAACTCAACTTTTAATAAAAATTTATAGTTGCATTTTTTTTGTAGCTCATGCAAACATTGACGCGCTTGTCTTGAACAAGAAAGTCATGCGCTATGGACACATCTTGAGCTCAAGTCTTGGCAAGCGCATGAATAAAAAAGTTTGACTTGGGTAGTATATTTTGTAATTAGAATAAATTATTATTTTGAAACAATTGAATGGCAAATGTCAAATGTCAAATTTTGTCTACGAAGAAAATTCTTCAAAGAAAAAAAAAAGAAATACAAAGACATCTGTCTTCAAGTCGCTGCAAAAAGTGGCTGGATTTTGTGTGCTAAGACTTTCGAATGATAAGATAAGCACATTTCAATCTAGGAATTACTCATAAGATTGCAGACTTTATTTTTATCTTTCTTCGAACTTTCTTCATTATATTTTTCCTTTTCCTTTTCCTTTTTTCTTCTTCTTCACTTGATACTGACATTCACGAGAGACTACGACAAATAAGAGTGACCTCAATCAGAATCTAAGATTAGAGTTCAATATTCAATCGCTTCAGGCGAATCATCTGTCAATAACAACATAATTCGAGGGAAACGACCCAAAACCAAATATGGCAATCATCGACAAAATAAATATTAGCGGGTTCTACCATTTTAGATACGATGAAAAACAATTTAGAGCTGATTGACTTTTTCTGAACCGGAATCAAAAGAAAACTTAGTTCTATGTATCTTGACGTGAGCTTCCGATTTATTTATTTAATGCAAATGAACTCGATGTTTTGTTTTCTAATTTATATCAATGGTGCTTAAAGAATAAGATAATTTTACATCTCTCCAAAACAACAAGAAATCGATTACTTAGAATTAGTTTCTCATGGGATTGGTATTCAAAGAAAACAAAAAACTATTATGAATTGTTCATTAAACAAACCTTCTTCTTGTTCTAATCGAATTTCTTTTAATGCAATATAACCATTCATTAAATGAGATTTTCCTTTGTACACAGTTGCGTATGTTCCTACAAAAAATAACAAAAACAAATCAATATTTATTGAAGACAAAAAAGCAATGAGCTTATAACCTTCTCCTAGTTTTTCTAATTTCACATAAGATTCGATTTTTCCAAAACCAAGATCAAGCATTGAAAGACGTTGTTCATTTCGACTTAATGGTCCACCTATACTTGTATTTAATTGTGATGGTGATCGATGTACTAAAGATGAATTGGATTGATGCAAAACATTATTCAATGTTTGTGTTGATAGAGAATTCGTTTGATAATACGATGAACGTTTTTGTAATTGTAGTTGATTTAATTTAAATTTATTTGTTAAATTTGTTCCTGACGAGTGATTATTATTATTATTATTATTGGTTGATACGTGTGGTTTAGTAAATGAAAAACTATTTTTTAATTCTGGTGGTAATGATATGCGTGATTTTAGATCACGTAGGCCCTTCTTCTTCTTTGCACTATGTTCACGCATTTTAACTTTAGTGACTTCTTGATTGGAATTTTCTTCATCATTGATTGAAGATTGCTTTGCTAAATCTTCAGGCGTTACTGATATTATCGGATGAAGAACAGTTCGTCCTTATTACAATATTAAAATTGTAGACAAAATTATATGAGAAAATTCTCTTACCTTGAGCATTAGCATCATTAATAGCTGACGATGATGAATGAAGATCATTCTTGTTTTGAGCATTTATCGAACTACTAACATCTCCATGTAAGCTAATTGAATTGGTTAAATAATGTTTATTATTATTTGTATTATTAGCAAGAACAGACAATGCTGTGCCAATATTAGATGTCATCGATGATGAAGATTTGGACGGATTTATCAGATCATCTCGTTGCTGATATTGAATACCATTTAATATATTATTTCGATTTTTATTCGAGGTCGATGATATACCCGATGGAGACGATGTATGAGCCGATATAAATGATGATGACGATGATAAACCTAAATATACAATTATATTCATTATTATAGAAAGAAAAATAAGTTTTTATTATCTAACTTAGACTAGGTGCAATTCTTTGCGTTTGTTGATGTGTTAATGCGCCACTATCAGGCCGTACTGTATTATCATAATAATAATCTTCATCATCAATATTTGTAGGTTTTGATCTAATCTGTGTTTTCATTGGTAGAGGATTTTCTTCTTCGGATATTGGTACTAATGCTGAACCGCTACTATTACACATAATACTTGTATTAGAACGTGTTATAAATGATGAATCATTTTCATCAATTAATTTTGTATGCAAACGTTGATAAATAAAATCTGCAGGTAATTTAGCTGGCTGTTGCTGTTGTTGAACGTTACTATTTGTTGTATTATTTGTTGCAATAGTTGATAAATCTGTATTTGTACTATGGCTACGTTTAAGAAATTGTGAAAAATGTCGAAAAGATGTACGACGTTTTTTCTGTTTAATATTTATTTTTTCTGGTTGGGTTGCTGTTTCATTTATTGTCGTGGTAGATGGATGAAATTTCTTGGTTAATAAATTTTTTATTTGTGTATATTGCGAAGGATGTTCGTCTGACTTTGGTTTAATTGGTTCATCAATGGTTAAACTTTTTATATTATCATAACTCATATCACGTTGTATAGAAGATTTATAAAAAGAAGATTTTTTTGTCGGTGTATTATTATTCATCTAAATGATTGAAACAGAAAGAAATTTCTAGAAAGACAAAACTAATAAGAGTGACATACTTTATTATTTTCTTTTGTTATGTATTCATTTGATGAGTTAAAATCAGTTGATGCTGAACGTATCATAAATGATGAAATATCTTCACTTAATGGTCGCATAGGTAGATGATGTTTTTTTGATTGTTGCTGCTGTTGTCGTTCTTGTTGTTCGTGTGACGATGAAGATAAATTTTGTTGTGAATGATGTTGAATTGGTCTCATATGTTGAATATAAGATAATGGTGGATGTTTATGATGTGATGATGAATGACCATTGGACGGTGGATCTTGTACTGATGGTGATTCTTCAAATTTTTGTTCAACATTAGTCGCAGTACCATTTGTTGTTGTAAACGAGCCCATCGATGACGTACTTCGAGGTATTGTAAAACGTTTAAATGTCTTTGACAGAGTCGTTGTAACTTCCATTCTGAGCACGTGCGATGTTTTTTTTATTCTTTAGAAAATGAAAAATGAGCAGGTGCTTCATGACAATTTTAACAACATTATATTACTTACTTGAGCACAACTTATGAATAAAGACGTTTATATACACATGATAAATGCTGCGATTAATTTGCTATACTTGAACATGAGGAGCAGAAAGAAAATGAAGGGACAAAAACAAAAAGAAAAACAAAATAAAATCTAAAAATAGTCATGATACTGAAGAATAAATAATGGAAAATTTTTAGAAGGAAAAACAATCCAATAGATATATTCATTATCAATCACGCATTCAACATAATAGCTGATACTATTTTTACTTGAACCAATGCATAGTAAATAAAGGAAAATGATACTGCTTTCAATCTATTCGTTTTGTTCAATATTGAACTTGTTATTATTCATGTCTTTTGTTATCCTTGATTGTATATACAGTAGAATAAAGTCTCAATTTTCTTTTAACTAAACACACAAAATTGTATCTACTGACAATGTCATCGAACATGCGACACTTATTGTAACAAATAAGTATACGTCTTCTTTTTTCTTTCTCTGTATGCGTATGATTTAGATGCGTACGTTCCGTTTGTCGCAATGCATACTATTCGAGAAATAAAAGCAAAGGCGAGAAAGTGGTAGAACTGTGTGTAGGCGAATGCGAAGGTATGCGACGAGTAAAAGCAAACGGCAACAAGTAAGAAGACGCAAAGAGCGAGCGAGCGAGCGAGAGAGAGAGAGAGAGAGAGAGCAAAATGGAACCTTTTCTTCTTCTTCTGCTTCTTCGTATACTACTACTACTACTAACAGCACCCCCTTCATTTTGTTTGCTATACGTATGTTAGCCATTGGCTTGCTTACATATTTAGTCAATCATGTAACAACGACAGTTGCATTCACATAAACATTCAACAAAAATCATACGAAAAGTTTTCTTTGCTTACATTATTTTATTCTTGTTACTATATAAATCTCTCATCACTTGATATATATATCTTCAATCGATAGAAAATAGAAAATGTTCGGATGAAAGGTTATTGAAATGTCTAATCGATGTCATCATAGAAATCTTTCATTTCGTTAGTGAAGCAACGTGCCTATGTGAGATATGTGACAGAAAAAATAATATGTCAAACTTCATATAAAAGATAGACGCAAGAAATACAATCTAATTACTGATCGTGACAATGATTGTGGACTTTGCAAAGTGGCTTGTTGGCCTTGCCCGTCGCCATCACATAAAGGATCATTATCGTTAACGGGACAAGAGTCGCTATGGAAAAAATGCATTTTCTTTTGTCGCACAGCGCAGCTACTATCGTCGAAGACGAGCAAAGAAAAAAGGCAGAATAGTAACAAAAGAATAAAACCGAAGAAAAAGAAAAAGAAAACGTCGACGAAGAAAGAGCTTTGCTGACTTCATTTCTTTTTTTTCCAAAAAGGAAACGACAGTCGTAGGATGATAGAAGATTGCTCGTTGTACTATAAAGATTTTTCTATGTCAGTAATTCTCATTTTTATTTCACCTGTAATGATGTATCTGACTAGTAAAAACGTGTGCAAGGGCGCATAGCTAATAGAAGAACAAAAAAACGTTAATATCGAAAAAGAACGAACATCAACCTTTACAAATAAAATACTAGTCTCTATCTTATTTTTTTTATATGCCATTACACATGTAAATGTCATTTGCTTGACGAATTGATCCATGTTCACACGAACAAGAAAATGAGTAATCAATGCAAACTTAACGGATCTGGCACGTGCATAAGGGTGTTAATGATCTTATTGAACAATCATCAAAAAGAAAGAAAAACTGTATAAGAACGAACAGCAGGCAAACATAAACATTAACACACACACGCGCGCTCTCGCATACATTATATTGCGAAACATGAACTGATGAGATGATAGTATTCTTTTAACTATCATTCTATAGTAACACTACTATAGGGACTACTTTTTTTTTCATTCCATTATCTATCGACTGCTACTACTAGTAGTAAGAGTCATCATTATTGCATTCTTACACTCGATCTCGCAACAACATATGGAAAAATAAGTTGGATTAATGAAGCAGTGGCGAATGATGAAATCAGAACTGATCATATGTACATACCACACATACATATATACATATAAGATGATAAGCGCATCTTTGCCTATTTTTTCTTGACTTCTTTTTGACAAACTTAAGTATAAAGGAAGAACAAAACAGGAAAAAGAGAACATGATATTTCTGATTATAAGCTGTTGCTTGTCTAGTTTCGTAATTGCACTGACATGCTCTTCATGAGAACAGTTGGCTATTGAAGGAAGTCTTGCAATGACGTTAATGCAAGCACATCAATAGTAGCATCACTGCTTTGTGTTTTTTTTCTCCGAAATCAATTTCCATAGGATTCCCTGAAGAGGTCTCTCGCTCGTTTCTACAATGAAATTAATCTTCATTCTTTTCTGTAGCTCATTTCGCTCTTTTTTTTACTACATCCACATATAGTATAAGACAGATGATGGAAAACAACCGATGTCTGATCAGTACTAAATCATTTGCATAACAGTTGCAATCATGCGCGAATGATAAATGAATACATGGTCATTCCATCAACTGTTCCAGAAAAGCAAAGAAAAACTACACCGGAAATCGTTAAAAACTGACATAAACGATATCTTTTTCTGCTTGATTCACTAGTTCTAATTCAATATTTATCATCATTCTCTTGAAAACTTCTCTACAAAAAAAAATATGCACTAAGCTATGTCTGGTTAAGATCTTTTTTCGTCAACTATATTTAATAAGCCTAAGGCACATTAGCTAAATTGAATTTAATAAGGTATATTAAATGAAACTATGAACACATTATGTATCCAGAAGAGAAAATGGTTTTTACCTTCTTTCTTCTTTTCTTTCTGCGTCTCGTTTATATTAATATTTACTCAAGATAGGCGGCGAGTGCCCATCGGCGAATGATTATGATTACTTGACCCACAATCATGCTCACATCTCACACAGTATGTAGAAAGAAAGGAAAGAAGAAGAAGAAAAAGAACAGATCTACTCATTTCTCTGAACATCAACGAATAAACGATCGTCTTGGTTTCTACTGTTTAATACCACTCAACAACATATACAGCAGACACTAGACATCATCAAATCTGATAAAAACTTCCTTTCGGTAGAAAAGAAGAAAAAAAAACGATACATAAATATATATATATATATATAGTTGATGATAGTTTTAATTATATTCTTAATCCACAGAATTTGTTTGACAAAACAAAAACTGTAAGCAAATGAAAGCAACGAAAAAAAAATCTACATGCAATTCATAAAAAAGAAAAATACAACTACCTCTATCAATGCATAATGAATAAAATATCTTTGTTATATCACAGATATTATACAAAATGTTCACTGCAAAAATACTTGAAATCAATCGGTGATATTGGTTTATGATTAATACGAAAATCATCTGTTGTTATTTGTTTGAAGGAATCTTTCTTTGTAATTGTAGTTGCTAAATTTAAAGCATCGATAATTGATATATTTTCATATAAATGTTCATCATATTCATCATTATAACAATGATGAAATTCTCGATGACGTAAGGCATTAATTTCGAGCAAAGCGCGAAATGGTATACGACATATCGGACAATTTGCTGATTGAAACTTGAGATTCTCAGCACAAGATCTACATAGACATAAATGTCGGCATGGAAGAAGTAAAACATTTCGTATATCCGTTAGACAAATAACGCATGTACTTTCATTTCTATTATTCATTATTAAATCCAAACACGATAAAGACTTTTTTGTTTTACGCGTCTGTTTATTTGCTTGATTAAACAATGATGTATCATTGATACTAAATATAAAATTAATTTCCTGAAAATCTATCTTTATATATGTATAAATACGTAAGTATTTTAGCTTTGGTCGATATGGCTATCAATCTCTTAGAAAAAAGATCTATTTAATGAATAAATAACTAATCAATTAGCATAGATAAGAAAAATGTCTGTTATTTGCATAAAAAAACCAGCGATGTCGACGTTGATTAATTATCTTACTAGGAAATCATTCAACCTGATAGTCAGCATTTGGATTTAATTTTAGTTTAAAAAGATGTTTGCTTTGTGAGTAGCAAAATAGTTCGTTTCTGTTAGCGTTGAAGGTCGAGTTGTGATCATTTTACTGAATTTTAGATCAATAGAGAATTAAAAAAAAAAAAGAATTCGGTAGTAACATTTATTTTTATCATAAATAGATTCTATGATCGAAAGAATATATCGAAAGTTTCGACCTAATAAAGTATTTCTTTTTCATCTAGATATCAAATTTCCAAACAAACTCGACTTTTGTATCATGTTCTTAGCAAATGATCAATTTTCGGAAATGCGATATGTCGGCAATAGAGTACTGATTTCAGTTTTTCGAATTCTGCTGTATCTTTATTTAATTAGCATCAGTCAAAATTTCAGTGAAATGATCATAGTTCAAATATTCATCAATGAAAACGGTTTCGATTGTTGTCAATAGTACTGAAATTTCTTTGTCATACAATATATTGTTAGTGATCAAGAATATGCAAAAAGATACTTTTTTCTCTTACCGATTTGGTAGGTTCGTAACTGACAGGGATTCATTCTTGGCAATGCTTGATGTTGTAACGGCTTTAATTAGAAGTTTTCTACGTGTCGTGCTTTTCCGTCGATCATGTACATTGTTGGTTGCAAATTTAAAATGATGATTTTCAGTACCGTAAATTTCAAATAATTTAAAAATTATTCCATTAAAAACATGTTTTTGACTAAGTAAAATAACTGACGCATGATCAGAAGGTATTGCTGTTGTTGTAGTTGTTCGACTGTTTAATTGAAAATATCTTACTGTTGCTAAAACGATATGATACTGGTCAAATTTTGGAAAGACTGTTGTAGAAACATCTTCATGATGATTCACTACTGTTCCACATATAGTTTTTGGATTTCTAAAAATAAATAAATAAATACATTCTTCTACTCAATAGAAGATTATATTCATAAATATCGAGTAGTACGCTTTGATTCTAAATAGGATTAATTGTCTGTCAGAACATATTTTATTGAACAAAAAAAGGGCTTATTTATAATGCGACGATGGCCGGAAAATTGATCCTTCGCTGCCGTAATTTTCAATCAACAGGAAACAATTTAACACCATCTAAAAAAAGATCTCCTCAAGGTATACACCGAGTCATTCCTAAGAATACTCGAGGCTTCTATGTAAATCTGTGGAAATCAAATACGCTAATGAATTATATAAAATTTTGCTAAATGTATTTATTAGTTAGCTGTTTTTGTTATGATAATCTTGAAAATTCAATTATCTCTTTCTCTCTGTCTCTCTCTCGGAGATTATGTCTCAGCAAAGCTGATTATTTTTCTTTATTCTCATTCGTTAAAACGAATGGTTATTGTGTTTTCATACCAAATGACATATGAAGAGACCTTTTGAGAAGTTCCGTTTCCGATTGAAATGATTTCAATTACTCTACGATCAAATTGTTAATAATGTCGATTCATTTTAAATTACACACATAAGTTTTCCGAAAATCTTAAGATCTCTTGAAAGTGAATGTATTCGGAATTCTCTAGTTGATATTCAACTCATTTTATAATATGTATTAGAACCATGTGTTATTGCAATAGAGTTAACCAATCATTAGACTCAGAAGAACACAGATCTGAGGGGTCCTCCGTTCTCATCTCGTTGACTCTAACTCTAAAAAAGGATTAGAGACCGAACTTAAGAGAACAAAAGAAATGATAACATCCAGCTGAATTTATTTCCAACCTAGATACCAATGCTAGACAAAGACCTTGAAATTCAATGCCCTTCTTTTTTCGATTATTATCATTTTCTCTGCATTTCAAGTAGGTCATGCCGAATAGTTAACGTTTTTTTTTTGAATACAATTTTCTCTCCATTGAATTGTTTAGAATAATTATTCGATTTAAAACTGATACTATTTGTAAAAATTTTTTATTCTGTTCTTAAAAACAATTCTTTGAATTGAAGATGATAAGCGTGTCAATTTATCCATTAAATAACGGTCAAAGTCAATGAAACATTACTTTATTAACTTGGCATTGATTGCTTTACAAACAATAACAATAGGATACAATCGTTCTGCCATTGTACATTCATAATGTTCTTCATTGACTACTGATAATGGAAATCGAATGCCATGCTTAATCGATGAAAATACTTGTCCGTGACCAGCGGGGCGAGTAAACGCATGATACTGTTTAAATGTAACTGATTGCTTCGTTTTCGTACAACACATATATGATAAAGATCCAATATTATGTGCATGAATTTCATGTGCCATAAAATAGACTAACGAGAAAAGAAAAAACAACAAGAAAATATAATTAAACTGACAAGAAAAAAAAGTAACTTACTGTAAATTTCAACGGGTCGATCAGCATCAAAAATAAAATCAATTGTATACCAATCATCATCAAAATGAATTAATTTCAACGAGTCTCTTCTTATTGCTATTGTACATTTGATCGGACGTATTATTGTTGTTGTAAGAGTTGATTCCGGTAATGAAAGATGTAAATTGACGGGTGATAATGTATCAGAACTTGAATTTAATGTATAATATTCATGAAAAAGACATGTATGAGTTTGTCTATTGGCAAAAAACTGACTGGCACCCAAGAAAAAATGATTTAGTAAATGATGTCGCTTATGACGACGTCGCCGCTTTTTTAATGATTTTAAGCGTAGTATTGAATGGGCATCTCGATTATTAGTCGATGCCGGTGATGAAAAAGCCGATATCAGACTATAATAGATGCCCATATAGAAGAGAAAACTCAGAAAATGATTACTATTGTCAAGAAATAAACATTGATTATATCCAGGTGTGTCCATGTTTTACCGCCCCACGACATGCCGCCATTTATATCAGATGATATGTCCTCTAAAATGATGAATGACAAGGCTATTATTATTACGAATGGCTGTCTGTGGCTTTTCTGTTGTTTTTTCAATAATAATAATAATAATAATAAGCAAATCTAGTTATTGAGTATTGTGGTTCTGTTGTTCTATTCCGTTCGTTTTATTTGATTTATGAAAAAGAGAATACAAAAGAAAAAACCTAAAAGAAAACGTGACATCTAGTTATTCTTATCAACTGTATGTCAAGGTCCTTTTTTTCTTTTTTTTCTTCTGTCTTTTTCAGATGTATTATTATCAATATTCTTATTGATCTAAATTTTCAAAAGAGTTTTTCTCCTATTGAAAAGTTCAATCGAATTAAGTTTTCAATGAAAGATACCAAAACAGTATTGCCAACGGTAAATGGTGGTGGTGGTGGCAATGGAGAAAATAAAAATGGTTTTCATCACAAAAATAAGACACACGAGAATGGAAATAATGATGATAATGAACATTCAACAGTTACAATGCCATTAAAACATGATCTAGATGATAATGAAGAACTTGTTGGTGGCTGTTGCGTTTGTTCTGACGATCAAGGCTTTGCTAATAATGCTCTCGTTTATTGTGATGGTAAAGGATGTACAGTTGCTTGTCATACGGGTAAATGATAAATATATTGGTCAATGTAAAAACACACACATTTTCATGTATATTATTTAGCTTGCTATGGTATTGTAACAATACCGGATGGTGATTGGTATTGTGGACGATGTGAAGCTAATGATATTCGAGCGGTATTGAAATATGAATATTTTTAGGATTTTTATTTTACCTTTTTTGTATTTTTATTGTATAGCCTTGCCGTTTATGTCCTACAACTGAAGGTGCAATGAAGCGAACATCAGATGGTGATTGGGCACATGTTGTTTGTGCATTATACATACCTGAAGTATCCTTTGGGGATGATGCTACAATGGAACCAATAATACTATCGAAAATTCCATCACCGCGCTATGGACAAGAATGTTCAATTTGTGTACAAAATGGACGTTCAAAATTGATTGCAACAAGTGGTGCATGCTGTGGATGTACAGTTAAAAATTGTTTACAAGTCTTTCATGTTACATGTGCACAAGCAAATGGTTTACTATGTGAAGATGTTAGAAAAAATAATTGTCAATATCCAATTTATTGTGAACAACACCGTCCAAAACTATCAGTAAGAACATTTTTGCGCATATTTATTGTTTTAATTCTTTTATTCTGAATAATTTGTAGAAATTTATACGACAAATTCAAGCTTTTCAATATTCACCTAATGCATTAGTGTCAATGGAACAAATCAAGCGACAGGTAAATATATTGATTTTTTTATAAAAAAAAATTCGAAAATGTTTTTTTTCCTCATTAGCATTTATATTTGAAAGAAAAAGAAAGTCCATCACAATTATCAGATTTTGTTGCTGCTGCTGCAGCTGAAGCAGCAGCTAGTGAACCAACTTTACCTGCAACATCAACATTATCATTAGATGATACACATAATCAAACAACGACAAGTGATGAACAACAAACGCCTGTTTCACGTGCTTTTAGTACTGTAGAAATGTTGAAACGAAAATCATCATCAAATACAAATTCATCATTATCATCAGCATCAACGCCAAATTCTCCTCTTGTACAACAAAAATGTCATTCACGTTCATCGTCATCGTCGTCGTCGTCGAATTCATCATTACAAAAGAAAGCAAAATTAACTGATGAATTAAATACCAACAATAGATCACTCAATGATCTTTCACAATTTGTTCAATTAAATAAAGACGAGCGAACTCTTCAACCACTTGCATCTAATCAATCCAGTGAAAAAGTGAAAACAACAGTGACAAACAAATCAGATTCTTCAACAACAGATGCAAAGTTTGTACTCGATTAGTTTTATTAAAGAAAAGCTTTTTAAAAATAGAAATCGATATTGAATTTTATTAGTCAATTTTCAACATTAGACATTGAAATATTTCCAGAATTGTTTTTCATAATCAAATAATAGAGTTAGAAGCGATTGTTGATTAGAAATAAAGTTGGCAAATTTCTTTTTGCCTATGAACATTAAAACATTTCTCACTGTAGGTAGTAAAGAGTACTTTAAAAGAATGTGTGATGATGCTAGAGTGATGATGACGAGATTTCATTGTATTGAAAACAGTTGGATATTCAATCATGTTCACTTATGCACAGCACGACGATAAAATACAGCGTCTATCTAACATCAATCTATAGCTTTTAACGACCGGAAACTATGAAAAGACAACAAAAAGTACCGATTTAGACCGTTACGATAACTCTGATCATCTTCCTAGAAGATGTCCATAAATCATCTAGAAAATATATCAATGCATCGGAAGTTCACTTAGGAAATATTTATTTTTTAACCATTTCCTCCTGGAATAAAAAATCTTTCTCTCCGTGATAGAGAAAATTTTCTAAATAATAAATTTTATTCAATTCGAAACTATGTACAGTACGTATAGCAGCCAAATAGAATGAGCTATGTATATTCCTACGGAAATATTAAAATTTTACAACATAATTATAAATGGACGCTGTGATGGCTCTTAATGACGATAGCTTTTATTATGAAAAGTTAAAATATTTTGATGCTTACTTCTATCATGAAATGAGATCAATAAATCTGTTTTCAATTTTCTCTGTCGTTCTTAAGAGAAACTATACAATATGAGTTGAGAATATGTACTCATTTAAGTCTACACAATACTAGTAGTCTTAAATTGAAATTGATTTGAATCAATTAGAAAACCATACTAATAGAATTTGTTCTGAAAATATTCAAAAGAAAGTAGTATAACTATTTTCATTTTCATTTAAAATTGTTCTTTTTTACAATGCTATATTGTTTAATAGAGAGAAAACAACTAATGATACAAAATCATCGAATTCAAATCACGGTCATCAATCAGTGTTGCATACCGTCGAAGAAAAATCATCAGTATCTCGTTCCTCAACATTGTCTTTGAATGATAATTCTAATAATAAATTTTCTACAAAAGAACGCCATTCAACTGATGGTGTATCAACAAGTATAAAATTAACTTCAATAAAAAAATCTATCACGACGACAAAAATCAAGTAAACACAAAGTTACAACTTTTATCTATAAACTAAACTTTTTCTTTTTGTATTTACAGAGATGATGATAACGATGAAGATTTTGAATTAAATAAAAAACGTAAATTTTCTACTAAATTAAACAAAGATGGACAACCACATAAAAAACGTCTAAATTCAGTTGAAGGTGCTCCAAGACCTGTCGGTCGACCTCCATCGAAGAAAACCGTATTAGCACAACAATTAACCAATGGTGTAAAACGTCCATTTCCAAAACCTACCATCAATAATAATAATCATAATATGAATATGAAACAACAAAAAGTTAATGATGCATCAATAAATATACATAAAATTTCAACTGAACCTGAAACCGATAATGAAATTAAGTTAAATTCTCGCTCTACACATTATTATCCATGCGATCATTTCGGTAATCAAATCAATTCAGATGCTTTAAAGCAACATGGACATTCCGATGAACACCTACAGCAAATTTCCCCTTCAGGTAACATAAAAAACTCACATAATTCAATTAGACAATGTCTAGTGTCGTTTTCAGATACAAATGAAGAAACGCCCCGAACTCGTGTTCCTTCATCATCAACAACACGTATTGAATTTTATCCTCGAAGACCATTACAAAGTACATCAACCCAATCAACAACAACCGATCAGCAACAACAACAACGTACATTTCCACCACAAACATTAGAAGAATTTCTTGAACAAGAATGGGAATTATCAAGTGATTTTCTATTACAACAAACAATGCCACACGATGTTTCATCATTATTATCTTGTTTATATCAATTTAAATCTGAGAATGCTTCGTTACAAAAGAAATTCGAAGAGCTTAGACATCGTCGAGATTCACTTCGTGTAACAAATGCAAATCTTCGACGTCGACTCGCAGAAATTCTACCAATCAATGATACAGTTTCTCCACCTTCCACAGCAGCAACAACAACAACAACTGTTAGTCAAGTATCACCACCAACACTGCCGCCACCGCCACCGCCACCGCCACCGCCACCACTACCATCACACCCTCATCCAGTTTTGCCATCAACAGTCTTATCTGTTGTTCCACCAAGTCCACGTAAAGAACAACAACAACTTAAACAACAAAAGCTTCTAGCGGAATTAGAACTTCAACAACACTTACAACAACAAAAAGCAATATCACCATCACGAAGACGCTTATCAACAAATACCAATCATCAATATACAGATTCTTGTCAACCAACAATAAAAAAAAGTAAATCACCACGTCAAACAAATTCATTAGCACATCAATCTATACTTGAAAATCAACTTCGACAATCATCGATTACTACTACTACTACTACTACTACTAACAATAACGGTCCTAACCCAACAAAAAAAATAACTGTAGCAACAATACCTAGCAGCAAGAAAGTCATAACATCTGAAATAGATATTATTTCTCAGCATCAATCAACATCAGCAATTCCTTCTGTAGTTCCAACAACTACATCTTCAACAACAACATCAACCTATGAACATATCGATGTAACTACTTCAGCCGCTGCTGCAGCATATGCTTTAGCAAAAAATGGACGAACACCCACAAATACTGGTCTTAGTCTTGAACTTATATCACAAATTCTAGCTGCTAGTGGTACTGCAATTAGTCCTCAACTTTTTGCACCAACATGGAATATTTCCGTAAGTTTTAACAAGTTTTAAATTATCGAGGTGTTTATATTTAGAATTTTTGTTTATACTTAGAATTTCGGTTATGCTAATTTTCCTGGAGCTAATCCAATGCCAGCCTCTGATGAATCAATATTACGTTCCTATGCTCCATCAACACAGCCTTCTCTCGAACAACAACCATCGACAAAACAACAGCCATGATATCTCCTCTCCTATTATTATTTTTTCTTCTTCTTGTTCTTTTCCCAATGTAGTCTAGCATATGAAAACTTTGTTTCCTTTATTCTTTTCTTTCGTTTTCTTTTTCTACAAGTATTTATTAGAACAGACACTAGAGCGATGAAAATCAAACATAAAATGCAAAATAAATTTATGTGTAGTTATTGCACATATGTTTCTGTCCATAGTAGCAAACCAACATATTGAAAAAGATCGTTTTGTTTTCTGTTTATACATATAAAGAAATTTTCTTGCTTCTTTTTTGTCTATTTTCCATGAAAATAGCATATTTGCCGTATGAGGCGTTTTCTTCAGGAATTTTCGTTTTCTCTTTTCCTTTACTCTTATTCAAACATTCTCTCTTAATCGAACAGTTTTTTCTGCTGTTGCTTTGTCTTGTTTTTTTGGTCATTGTCTCCTTTGTTCATTCTCTTTTAAACTGCATAACCGTTGCTGCGGATTACTTTTTTTTTCTTGTTGTATAAAACAAACAAAAGGAAATTTATCAATGTATTCACGCTTTTGTTGTCGTTTTTGTTGTGGTCATTTGAACATTTTTCTTTCTTTTTTTCTCTCTTTTTGGCTTCCTGATGATACTATGTTGAGAAAAAAAGGACAATTAACTAAAAAACAGCAGGATTTATTTCATTATTGAATGAGCGGGTAAATGAATGTTAGGTATCACTATATTGCTTATTGGAGGTTTAATATGTGTAGTTTTGGGATATTTTATATTGAAAATAATTTGTGCATGTAGAAAAAAAAATGTTGACCCGAAAAAGAATGAAAATACTTCGGCTCGTCGTAAACGACCACGAAAGAAGAAAGTTAGTAGAACCTAATGAATAATAAATAAATGTTGTTATTCGTTAGAAACCAACTTCAAGCAAATCAAAGAAAAAAAAGAAATTGACAACGCACAGACCGAAAAAGAAACAGAGTAAAAGAACAACTAGTAAAAAATCGAAATCAACAAAACGAAGCAAAGCTTCGAATAGTTTACAAGCAACTAATCAAATTAAAAATTCATCTTTATTGCCAGTAAAATCCGAATCACATGATATGAAAACAGGTTAGTTCGATAACAAGAAATATCGTTCAACGAAGGTCTCGATTGATTTTTATAATGATTTGCCGTATCTTTCAAACCATATATCTATCTTTTATCGTGTACAGTTCGCTTGCCTTTTTTCATAGAACACTAGAGACTAATATCTTCTAATGTAATCACAATTAATGAAAGGAAAATATCCTATTTTGACAGCATTAAAAATTCTTCGTCAGGATATGAACTTTGTGTAACACGATCATTATTGTTAAATTACTGTTTTCTTTTCATTTTTAGAACATGTTGAAAAGCCTGTGAATCAAGTTTCATTTTATCAAATAGACGAAAATCATATGGATAAAAGCTTTTTACCTATTGCTCGTTGGCGGGCTCAATCTAAAAGAAATGAAACTAAAAAACCTGAATGTCTTTGGATCAATAACGACGATCCGTATTCAACTCTATTTGAAGTTATGAATTGTGTAGATACTGTAAAAAATGTTATGCCGTGTACTGAAGATGATACTACAGTCTTTTCTAAATATGAGTATGAATTCAACTACGACGAAGAACATCTTTTTCGTTGTTAAGATAAGAAGAAAAATATAAAAATATATTTCATAACAGAAATAACAAAAAAAAACAGTTGTTTAATATCTTCGTCATGATTAACTTTCTTCTACTTTATGGAATTTTTAATTTCTCTGGTTAAATCAGCACATTGAAATATACAAAATCTTGTGAAATATGCATCATTGATTCCTGTTGTGCAGATGATAATATTTATTTTAATTCCCTCGACTGAAGGGAGGGTCATACGGAAAAAACTAAAATGCGTTTGTTTGTGTGTTTGCTTGAGGTCAAAAAAACATCCAAGGGAGGTTAGCTTATTTTAAGACTTTTGCTCGTTTCGCTCGAACTTTGCCATAGGTTATCGAGGGCCCTGAATTCGAATCCTAAGCCCATTTCTTTGGCCGCGGTTTCATTGGCCAGGAGCTGACCAATCAGAAATTAACCTTCTCATTTTAAGGCTGTTTGCCGTTTCGGTCGAATTTTACTACAGGGACGAAGTCTTTGTTCAGGATGCGGTATGTTTTTATGAAAAATACTGCAATAAAGAGTTTGACTGAAGAACGATTGTGCACGTACATGTGTTGAATATTATAAGCATTGGGTTTGTGTGAATTACCCACAAATAAGAAGTGTATTGCTTGGGAAAATGAAAGGAGTCGCATTCTCTAACTTAGACATCTTGAGTATAACAGTGAGAGAGAGAGAAGGTGTGAGTACTGCCATTCATTTCCTAGTGAAGACCTCCGAGAACTGCAACGAAAATGATTTTCCAATCTATAGGGAAAGCACATACAACAGTTATTCCCTCGACTGTAGGGAGGCTCATATGAAATAAAATGCGTTTGTCGGCCTGTTTGTGACAGGTCAAAAACAACATTATGCGAGCTTTCCTTCGGTTTAGACTTAACGACTTTTTCATGTAACTTTCCTGAAGGTTGTCAGGGTTCGGGAATCCGAATCCGAAGTCAGATTTTCAAAATCTCGAAACGAATTTTCTAGGATTGCGTATGTTTTAGAAGATATTTAGACTGTATTCAGTTTGACGATAGATAACCGAGGTCTCAGAAGTGCTACTTCATTTGGACTATGTGAGTTTAGTCTTTGATTTTCCTGGAAAATTGTTTTCTGTGTGATGATACTTGATGTTAAGAGTGGCGATTTCGGCTTGAATGCAGGTTCTCAAAAATGGTTACGGAGCACTCTTTGCTAGAAATAGATTTAATGGATAAGTAATTACCAGTTTCAAGTGAAGAGTTCGTACCTGAAGAATCGATTGTTTTTCTGAGTTTAACAAAAATGCAGTGGGCTGGAAATTCTGAAACATGAGTACTGTATAGTATTGGTGGTAAGGTAGAGCAGCAGCTGCTGCTTTACTGGTGGAGAGAATGGTCAGAAGTAGTAGACATGCATAAATATACCTCGACTATCTAGATATGAGTGGTTTCAAAATTGCTCAAAAGTATCATCGAATTCTAGTGTTAAAATGAACTCAAGGATAAGTCACTTTTAGGAGTCGCTGATCGGGAAACTGCATTCAATGGGAATCATATCTTGGTTGTTTTCGATTTCATCGACTCAATGGAAGGTTTAACTCGCTTGAATCACTCAAGAGAGTCATTATTTTCAAGAATAGGTAGCTTTTTAGTCTCTCGAAAGATTATTTTCATATAACTGTCTGATTTGTATATTCTATGGGTGATACATTTACTTTACTTTTTGTTTACGTAACTAAAATAAAGTAATTACAATAGTTACTTAGTTATTAGTAAAAGTAACGACAGTAGTTACATAGTTACCTGTGAATAGTAACTATTGTACTTACTTTTTACTAATAAAAGTAACTATCGTACTTACGTAGTTACTTGTAAATGATAACTAATGTAGTTACATAGTTAACAGTAATTAGTAACTACAGTAGTTACATAGTTACTATTAACTAAGTAACTACTAAAATAATAGTTTATAGTAAAAAAATGAATAAGACATTTAGAATCTGTTGGTGTAATTCGGATTACTGCAGCAAAAATTGCTATGCTCATTTTCTCCCTCTCCTCACTCGCTTACATCCACGGAAATCAAATAAAGCTGTATATCATTCGGTCGCCCAAACAATCCTCTATGAGTGCTAAAAGTATCTCGGCGAGTGACTTGACCATTTTAATATAATATGCACAACAAGAACACCTCTGTTAACTACCTTAAAAGTTGAGGGTGTGGGTGTACAGATCACAATTTCTTTCATATACTCGCACACCCACACCCCACACCCTACTCGTTTCTTTTTGCTTTCGGTTCTTCTCTCCCTTCCTTTCTTCACAAAGCAATCAAATCACGCTTGAAGCTTTCGATTATTCTTCGATCAACATTGGATAGGTAGGCAACGTAAACAGTCATTACTCAAGAAAATATTCGATTACTTAATTAGTATCTTTAATAGAAGGCGAACATTCAATCTCACTCATTATTTCCTCTAAGAAATTAGTTTTCAGTGTGGTCATTATTTTTGATAGCATTCGAAAAAATAATAATGTTTACTTTTGCAGTTTCAGGGTGTGTAGGTATATTAAAGAAGTTGTGGTATGTACACTCACACCCGCACCCACACCCGCACCCACACCCGAAAAGTGCTTTCGACTGGTATGTATTTCGTCATGGTTGGAAACTCTTCACCGTACTCGAGCAGTAGCAACAATCGTAAAAAGATGGCTTTCAAATAGTAGCTGAGTCATTGCGTGTAACAGACCACCCTCAGGCAAAGGTATTTTCTCGCATGTTTTGACACCGTTCGAAAGCCCTCGAAAAGTGCTTTCGAATGATATATATTTCGACGCATTACTGCGCAGTTGTCGTGAAATGACTATGAATTATGATGTAAAAGAGGTCAGAAAAATCAGTTTTCTGATTTTTGCGCTGCCGACAAAATATAATGTTTTTTTCACTGGATTTCGTTGAAAAACATTTTTTCGTATCATTAGGAAGCATTCTGTGAGGAAATGAGAGCAAATTTGTCGTGGGCCGATTTCGGGTCTTATCGACCCCCGCCCTTTATAACGACATTTTTTTAATTATTCGAATGCTTCTGTTCTTTTTCATTTAGTCCATCATATCATATTTTCGCTCCTTTTCACTAACCCCTCAAGGGGTGTGGTTGTGAATAAGAGCAAGAGTGACTTTCACACCCACACCCACACGTACCGAAAAATTATTTCATGTTTCAACGATGTTTTTTCGACCTGCCACAAACAGACAGACAAATGCATTTTCATTTTTTTTCATATGACCCTCCTTACAGTCCAGGGAATTAAGTAGCAGCGAAGTCTTGGAGAGTCGATTACATAACGTAACGTGTATCTCGTGTGAAGAGTGAACCTAAAATAGTATTCTTGTTCGTTTTAGATTAATACCACAAAATCCTTTCAAAACCATGGCGACAAATTTAGGTATAAGCGAATTATACTCGAATCCTCAGGACGCCGATACACCGTATGAATTTCGTGATGATGATAGTGGTAATGACGAAAAAGTTGGTTACACTCACTCTCGTTACAGTATTTCTTGCGATTACGAAGAAAAAGACGATTTGAATTACGAGGAGACTAGTGATGAAAAAACGAATAATCGTCAGCATAATCACAATCCGATTCTGCCAAAGCTTACTCGTCCGTGTACCATTGCGATTAGTGCAAATGTAGATCCCAATGCTTTACGATGGGATGGCATCAAAATAATAGACGCACTCAGAAGAAATGCTCGAACAAATAGTGAACAAATCGTTGTTTATTACTACTTAGCTTCAAACTTGAAAGAACAAGAAGATTATAAAAATGCGATCGTACAAGCTATCAAAGACATAAAGGAGGCGGCACCCGGTATTAAATTCAAAAAGTCTCGTGAAGAGAACAATCGTATTCGCATCCAGTACTCAAGCAGAGGTACCAGTAGTAGTAGTAGCGTTGGAATGGAAGGAGGTCAACAAATCCTGAAATTAGGATGGGCTACAAAGGGTAATGTTCTCCATGAATTACTGCATGCATTGGGGTTTCTTCATCAGCATCAGCGCTATGATCGCAGTGAGCAAGTTTCTATTCCTAAACACAGAAAGGACGACCCGAATTACAAAAAAGAGGGCCTTCAACCCGAAGGCAGATATGATGCCAACTCTATTATGCATTATCCTTGTGACGAGAATATGAGAAATAAGCAGCTCTGGGCAAAGCATAATTCAATGTGCCTTAGTAACGGTGATAAAATCGCACTTAACGTGTTATATCCACCTGTAAAAAAGGCTCGGGAATGGGAACCGAAGAAGGGAGAAACTGGTTTGTACTATTGTGGAAAGAAAAATATGAAAGATAACGATGCACCATTTTGCTCAACTGGAACCGATGGGTTTTGTGGCCCTGATAACGGTCCAAACTGCCACATTTGCCGATGTTATGGTGGAATACAACAAAGAAAGAACGGTCACGGACATCTGGCCAAGCAAGGAGAAACAGGCTTGTTTTATTGTGGTCAACAAATCAAAGGCACAAAACAACGAGCAGGACACGATGATTACTGTGGTCCTGATAACGGTTGGCCTTGTGAATCGTGTTCCCAACTGTTACGAGGGGCGTAATTCAAAGGACGGGGGATGTTAACAGCCGAAGTCGGCCCCCTGTCCAAACACGACTTTTTCGTTTTCATTATGCTAGTTTTGACGCTACATCGACATTTTGAGCCACATTTTATCATTATATTAAATCTAGACATCATCTGCATTACTCTTTATATTGCACTAAAATCCACTGTATTTCCTTTGGGGAGCCGATCATTTTAATAAAATATTTCAGCTATCATAGTTACTACTTATTTTAATTTACTCGTCAGATTGTAGCCCTTTTCACGCTCTCTCTGACGGTATGTCAACATATGAGAAAACCTACTGAATTCAATTTGACACCGTCGGCATATCATACAAAAGTTCTAGTAAAGGTGAATACCGCTGATGATACTTCTCGCGAAAGACTCAGATAATAATGTCGGTCCACGCTCATTTATATATCATTCGATGGAGAATTTCGGGATCTATCAAATGATTATTAAAAATGTAGGAAAAAGAGTGGGTAACGATAAAGTGATCTTACACTCACTATGCATGCATGAGGAAAAAATGTTATCTTTGCTCATGACGAGTCAGATGCGATCAATGGAAAAATGTCGGTCCACGCTCATTTACGTACCATTCGACAGAGTATTTCGAGATCTATCAAATGATGATGAACGCCTCACAGGGAAGTATAAGTAAGGGGATACAGTACTGTGTTGTTCCGAATTTTAGGAGATCCTCACAGCTAGTATCTATAAGAAAAACGGATGTTGACGCTTTTTTCTGATTTTGAAATATAAACTAGGGTTGGGTGATAGCCCTCTTAGTCCAGTTTATTCTTTTGAAAACAGCTTCGTTTTACGTATGTTTATAAAAACCGAATGTTGAAATATTTATGTTAACGAGTAGCGTTGTGAATCATCATCATCATCAGACGAATCATAGAAATCTGAGACTTGTATCAAATCTGTAGCTAAGTTCTTGTATTCGTCGGATGGCATATGATGCTGTTGTGTTTGCCATCGTTGACAGGAAAGAAAGCAAATAGCTGACGCTATATGACTGCAACAGCCGAGAAATTGTGCACTAGTGAAGCAATCGCGCCATCAGCCTAGAATTGCTTGATCAGTAAAGTGGATTGTTGGATGATATGTAAATCGATTACTATGTGCGGATTGAGTAGGAATACGGATCAAATTCGGAATAATTTTAGATCGGTGTACACTGTAAGCTACGTCACTGGTTAGATTGGTAGTTGAGCAGCGCTCTTCAGCATAAGAACGTGCTCGTTTCACTTGAAAAACACGTGTAAAAATAGATAGTTGAGAGAAATTAAATGAAGATCTATTACCGAAAGTGAGATCTCCTAGATCGTATTGTGTCATAATAGGAAAACCATCTATGATTTCTGTACGATTAATTATTTCCCATAGAAAGTCGTCTGATTAGATTATTTTCTTCTAGGAGCTAAATAAGGGCATACAAGTTGCAGAAAAAAATATTGTTAAAAATAATTACGAGTTGAATTTTATTGTTTTGTTGGCGTAATTGCATTACTTGTAGACTTATCTCTTCATCTTCCAGTTTAGATCTTGTCATATGTGGTTGATAATGATTGATGAGAGCGCAAGCAATTGACATATCAGGTTCTAAGTAAACTAGGGACGAGTTTTGAATGGTATTTGCAAAGTACTTAAATTGTTTGAGTCGACGGTTAACGGCTTCCACGACCCAGCGTATTTTTGTGATGCATCTTGATTCGTTAGCTTCGTCGGCTGAAAATTGACGTCTGCATTGAGAAATGATGGCATAGTAGCCTCCAACCCAAAAGCTTTCATAACACCGATAGAGTCTCTAAACCCTCTATCAACCACCAGTATGTCATGCTAAAGAAGACAATTATATTAAGGTTTTCCTTAGAAAAATATTACTTCTTTTAGTCAACTTAAAATGTGATCGGTATTGCGAAGTAAAATATCTTTCATTATCGCAGCATCGTTGTTGTTAAAATCAGTCATGAACGGTCCAATACAAGCCACGATATAACCTGTAGTGGTTACAATCATCATTGGCTTTAATAAGGATCTTTTCTTATATAAGTTAAAAGTCTTTCTTTGAAATTCATTATTTCGAGACTTTTAAAATATAACATAAAATAAATTCATTACAGAAAACAATTATTTTACCTGAATATAAAGATACGCCCCATCAATAATAATTATTGTAGTATCAGTACTGTCACCACCGCACATTAGTTCTCGAGCTATTGCTGCGGTATGGCGACCAATAACATCTTCACGAGTAACATGTCCAAAGCCTAAATTATCTGGTACGAAACTCTTTACAATAGCTTGACGCGCGCTATTTATAATTCGAGACACTGTTTGTTTGTCTGCTATTTGAAACATGCAAGCTAATAGTCTATTTGAAATACCAAGACGAAGTTTACATAAATAAATGTCGACTGCAGTTCTTATCGATCGATTGCAGGAGGGGCGAATAGCAGATGAAGAAATGATTTGGACAAAATCATTAAAGTTCTCTTTTGAGAGACTAGTTAGTAAACAACATTCATCATCATTAAGATCTCTTGGATCATCGAAACTAAATCTTTTCTTGCCATTTCAATTAATGTCTGAGCTTTTCTTAAAAGAAGTTGAACATCTGACGAGCTTAATTCTTGATATCGTATTGAGAAAGGTTTATTCTGATCAACAGCTTCTTTCGATAATAGATTATTAATTAAATGGCCTGAGCAACATCGTGCCACTTCTGGTATCCAAATATTACGTGAAAAAAATATAAAATCTCTATCCTGAAATGTAATTTTCACCGCATGATCACGAAGATTTTCACGACAAACACAACATTTCCTAGTGAAAAAACATTACACATCTGTTTTCTTCATCAAATTTTTTTTCTTACGTATGGGAAGAGGAAGTCGCATTTAGCTGTAACTTAACTACTTGATGATTTGTAGTTGTAATCAAAGTTGGATTTTCCACAGTTGTTAAACGAGACGAATCACCAGTTTGAACCTGAACGTCCATATAAACTCATACTTAAA